CTATCTAGTACAATAGTTCTCAACCTTTTTTAGATTCAAGGCAGCCCTCATTAAACTCAGGGTGCACCTCAGAAAAATGCTAGATCATTGCTTTAACTGATTTCTTGACTACGGAAAAATAATAGAGCAATTCTTCTGGTGCAAAGAACTCAAAATGACTACAACAGGGCAGAATATTTTGACACTATAGATTCTTATTTGAAATCCCTGGGTTTATCTTGTGAATCATGTGTAGGGGGTTCACATCTAACAGTGTTAACATTATGTGGCACCCTTTAAAGGATCCCAAGTACCACAGGATACAAGAGCACCTTGTTTGAGAACAATGATTTAGTAAATTGTGCAACATTGGAACTCTTCTTTTTTGACATGTCATAAAAAACAACAGAGAAATGGAAGATCTCCTTTCTCAAGTATTAGGAAACTCAAATGTATATTTAAGAACCTAAACAAGTGATGTGTTTCCAGTGGTATAAGGAGAACCTATAATTTTCATTTCACACATCTCTGAGCCAGTGCCCCTTGGACTAAGTATTTATGCAAAGTGACTCAGTGGAAATGTTGATGCCTAGCTTTAGGATAAAAGTTTGAAAAGTTGGGCCTTCCACTGACTGTATTATTTCTCTTTTTATTTAATTTTGGAATTCCCTTCATCTTGCACCCAAAAAGCTGCATCCAAGTCTGTGGACATTTGGTTCCCTGAGGATAACTAGTAGCAATTCACCTAGTGCCACCACTAGTTATCCCCAGGGAACACTTGTGTCATGTGCCCTCTGCTGCACAGAAGGTTACCCCAGGTGGCGTAGGGAAGGTTGGCCTGACAAGCCTTACCTATGGTCCTGGATATCCAGGGGTCAACACCTCCTCCCTATGCTGCTCCCCTTGCAGTGCAGAGAACAGCTGAACGTGTTGTATGAGGTGCCACAGATGTGTCTGCGGTGCCACATACTGCATGGCTGTGCTCATCTAGATGTGGCCACAGGTTGTTTTTAAATATAGACTTTATAATCTTAAAGATAACTCTGTATTTTTCCTTTAACAATATATATTCAATATCCTTTCATTTATTTATTTAGTACAGTTAATGTAACCTAGTCACTTTTTCCTTCCTTCTGATTTTATGAATAGAAGATCAAGAATTTACTTTTCAGGTTACTAAAAAGTACTTCCAAATTATACAACATAAGCACTTCACTTTGTCCCCCCCATACAGTGAAAAAAGGCAGAACTAGCAGCTCTCCTAGTCCAGACAGACAATTGCCTATGAAATTACCCTAAGGATTAGGCATAAGATTATAGCTGTATTTTATAAAATAACCTTCAGAAGCCTGACTTCTTTCCATCTCATCTAGTGTTCCTACAATCATTCTGATCAAAGACTTTGAGAAAGGGCAAAACAAGGTCAACTTGATATATGGAATCATGCTACCCTCAGTAGGACAAAATACTCCAATTTTTAAAACTATTTTATGCAAGACAAAACCTAGTGTTTCTGTCAGTGTTCTTGTAGATGCTTTCTTGTACAGGAGCCCCTTCTCCTTTATGATTATTTATAAAAACTCTATGTCCTTTGCTGGATATTAGATTTATCAAGAAAAAATGCTACAGCAGCTGTCCCATAAAGAAAGGTAGTATATAAGAAGCGTATTGATGGAGCTTGGGTCACTCTGGTAATCAGAGACGTGACTGCTGAAGGTACCATAAGTCAAAAGATGTATGTTGGTTGTAACAGAAGGTGTACAATGCATTGCTAATCATCAACAGAGCAGCAGGTCAGTGTGGTATAAAGTTCTGATACATCTATCCAGTGCAAATATGATCTAACATTTCCTAATTGTGATCACATTTAATTCCGCCTTAAAGACACATCTTATGGTCTCCCTACAGGGACTCTAAATTATTTGTATAAAATAAGACCTACATGTTTACTTCTTCTGCTCAACCCTATATTTAGAAGTCTTGTCTAAAGAACTTTTTTCTCTCTTGGCTGTCTTTTTCTAGTGCTTCCTTTCTGATAAGTTACTTGCCTCTTCTTTTGCATTTCTTTAAATTTCAAGGAAAGAAATTGTACTTCAGGAATTTGCAATGCTATTTCAGCTATTTCCTCATTCTGGGCAGTGCTTGTAATTGGCCTTCTATTTGTCAGTTCATTCACTCCTACCCTTTAACTCCTCCCTAAACACATCCAGTTTGGTTGGATATACTAGGCAGTGCCCCTGATAGATTTTAGGGGAAATTTTCGCCTCCAAACTAATTACCAATTACATTGGTTTTAAAAATGGTGAGACTCATGAACCTTTTCTTTTTAGGAGTATTCCCACCTCTCCTTCTGTTGAAACAAGGTTTTTTTCTCCTATTGAACAACAGACTGGAGACTAATTTAGAGAAATGTCTTGGGTCCTGATCCTAAAGACAGTTATGCATCCAATTTTTTGGGCCTTGATTCCTCTCATCAGGACATTGTACTGGGTGAATGAATGTCATACTGAATAATTATTGTATTCCTAAATACATAAACCAGAGTTTTAAAAAGATGCAGATAGAGAGAAAAAGGACAAAGAAAAAGAAATGAGAGAGATGAAACTTGATTGATGATTGAAAGTTTGGTTTGGAAATGCCAACTGGAGCTGGTCATCAGTAGCTCATATCTAGTTTCCATCTATGTTCACGGACAACACCAAGTTATGGGGAAGCATGGTCATGCTTGAAGATAGGCTACAGATACAGGCAGATCTAGACAGGCTAGCAAACTGGGTGGGTCATAACCAGATGAAGTTCAACATTGAGAAATGTAAAGTGCTCCACTTGGGGATGAACAACCCCCTGCACACCTACAGGCTTGGTGGCACCAAACTGACCAGCACCAGGAATGAAAGGGACCTGGAGATAATAATAGACCGCAGTATGAATCTGAGCCAGCAGTGCAACGCTGTAGCCAGCAGGGCAAATAATACTCTGGCATGCATCAATTGATGCATCTCCAGCAAAACAAAGAAAGTGAGTGAGATTGCAGCAGTGGTGAGATTGCAGCTGGAGTACTGCATCCAGTTCTGGGTGCCACACTTTAACAAGGACGTGATAAAGCTTGAGAGAGTCCAAAGAAGGGCCACTTGTATGATCAGAGACGTGCTCAGCATCCTTACGAGGAAAGGTTGAGGGACCTGGGACTCTTTAGCCTGAAAAAGAGAAGGCTGAGAGGGGACTTGGTAGCAACTTACTGGTACATCAGGGGAATACATCAAGGGCTCAGTGAACAACTGTTCACCAGGGCACCCTTGGGGAAAACCAGGAGTAATGGCCACAAACTCCTGGAAGACTGTTTTAGGCTCAAAACTATGAAAAACTTCTTCACAATTAGAGTGTCCAGGCTGTGGAATAAGCTCCCTCCAGAGGTGGTACAATCATCTACCCTGGAAATCTTCAAGAGGAGACTGGACAGACACCTTGCTGGGGTCAGCTGACCCCAGTTGTCTTTCCTGACTAATGCAATCTTCCTGAAGTCCCTTCCAGCCTTACCATCTATGCATCTATAAATTAAACTTGAAATATGAGAAATTCAATTCTGGATATAATAAAACTGAACCAAAGGTTATGGAATGATTACAGCTATGTTTATATTTTAATACTAGGATTTTAGTATTAGAATTATCCAAATGTGTACAATTTTTGATAATTTTAGTGTAGGTCCTAGAGGACCATAACCACCTCAAGAAATGGAGAGGAATGGAGTAGGGTATGTACCAAAAAGTGAGACTAAAAAAGCTTTCAAAAGAATTATAGAAGAAATGCTTGTACAGTGCCTACTCCCAATCAGGGATAATTAACTTAAGTAGATGTCATTAGTTTACAACCATCAATTTCACACTGATATATACACGAGCATGTTTGAAAAAAATGCTAAATGAGATGTAATTAATACATATTGCAACAGCAATTACTTACTTATAACTTCAGAGAAAGCTATTCAACTAATATTCATAATCTTATTTTTTTAATTGGAACCTGTTCTCATGAGTTCTTAGAACAAATGGCAGCAAGGTAACTGGCTGCTTTAGCTTCAGGTTGCTCAGGCATTTTATGCCAATGCCATCTTGAAGAAATATGACTTTAGCTAGGTGCAGAATAATCTCTCTTTATTTTAATCATATTGATGCATAAAGCATTTGTTTTATTCCAAGTGTCTTTGATCAGATGTCTTGATATTGAACAATTTGCCCAAATAAATGCAAATGTGACAAAATAAAGACACCAGATACAATTCCATAATTTTCAAACAGACTAACCTCCATTCCTAAGAGAGTGAATTCATTGGCACCACCAACTGAGAAAGTATGTTTTAAAGGCTGTATTGAAGGGATGCCTGGATTAGTTACAAACAATTGCCTATAATGGTATCTGTTTTGATTTGCATTGAATTACCCTGCTGCTTCTGCCTGCACTGAGACTTCTGTCTTGCTGACTGGACTTTATCGGTTATGTTATGAGGAGACAAAAAGGGTCTGCTCAGTTTTATGTTCATGATAAAGAATACTACATATTTTAAAGGTTATATAGAGATTTTTCTAGGACAAAGTATAAAGTTTCTTGTCATCAATGAAGGCACAATTATTGCTGAATGATTAAGTAGTTATCATATTTCTTCTTACGTGAAAACTATATTTATTCTTAAGAAATCATTCTTAATGCTATTTGTTCTACATTTTAATTTGGAAATAATCCATGGAAGAGTGAACATCTTTGGTTAGAAAGAAACAGTGTTAAAAAGACAAAACAGTGATGCATAAAAATAGCCTATATTTAAAAAGACATATTAAGACTAAAAAAAAAGTCATTTATTTTCAATGTACAAATTTTCTTATCATAAAGTTGTTATTGTCACATACTATTACTGCAGTCTATCCTTATATAAAATATAATTGATAACCTTGATAAATTTAGTAAATATCATTGAAAGCAGAATGAGAATAATATAGCTGGAAAGCTTTCATAAAGGTACTTACATGATCAATTAGTTCCCGAACCATTCCATTCCACTGTCCGCTGGCATCATCTTGGGCTCCATATTTTCCATCCTCCACAAGCCTAATTTCATAGTTAAATCCAAGGATGGTAGATAGTTCCCTGAGGAGGTCAATGCAATATCCTTCAAATCGATCATTTCCATACAAAGGTTTGTCAGACTTCTTGAACATCACATATGGCTCTTCCTGTAAGAATTGAAAGCAGTGTGTCAATCATATAGTATATTAACTTTTTTGTTAATATATTACCATGATATCATGTCTTGTGCACAGAGGTTATTAAGAGAAAACTGTCCTTGCATCATTCAAAAAACAATTCCTCTCATTTTTAAGTGACATCAAAAAGCCAATGCTGCAGCCATGTTGTCAATGCAGCTGTACTCAACTCAATTTGAAATTACAAATTACTTATTTGTCCCAAGTATTGATTGGGTGGAATTCTGTAAGCTGCTTAAAAATGAAAGTAATCTAAAAATGTGATTATTTTGGCAATTGAATACTAATAGTTTTATTATGAATCTCTAATATCAATCAAGAGTCCTTAGTACCATATGCTATACTTTTCTTAACAGCAGGGATGTTAATAGTGCTTCTCAATGCCTTATTAAATAAGTATATAGAAAAACCCTTCAAAAAACATCAGCCACAGTACATTCTGTTCTCCTGCATCAAGTTAAAAATTGTTATTTAGGAGAGCACAGAACACTAATGGACATATTTACATTAAAAAAGTACATGGAAACCAAATTTTAATTTTCTCAAATTTTCAGCTCTCAAACTTAATTCTAAAGTTATGATGTGATTGAAGATTCAGGCAGCTATATATTGTTTCAAGTGATGCCTAGAGGACAGCATATACTTTACTAAGAACTGCCAATTACTTTAATTTTTTTGGTAGTAACCTAATAGCTGACACCATGTGGGATTTCTGATTATATTCTGGTTGTAGAAAAAATCTAGCTTTCACTACATACAGTATAATGATGAGGAAAGGAGAGAGGCTTATGGTTTTCTACTACCTATACAGTACCAATCTTCAGTTTCCAGCTGACACAGAATGGGTTAGATGCATGAGCTCAAGCTTTGCTGATGTTTTAGAGTCCTTTCCATTTTATACAAGGATAAAAAATAACCACAAAGTAAGGTAAGAAAAATGGCACCAGATGCTTTCACTGCCCCAGACACAAGATTCAATGAATAATAAAATAAATTCTCCAGGGTAACTTTACAAAATGCATACAGTCCAAAATCCCTGCCTCAGCATTCATAGGGGTTAACAGCACTTCATTCTACTGGCACCTGGCAGCTTTAATAAGGGTCTGTCAGCATTTCCAATATAACCCCCATTTTGAAGAGTCCCATAACTCATCCATTTTAATTTGCATACAGCTGAAACTTTAGCACACAAGTTTTTAGCCTGAATAGGAAGAGGTGTAACGCATGAAGATTTTCCTTTTTAAAACCAAGTATTTTCAGCAAGTGGATATTTCCCCTTTATGTAATTTAAAGAGACTGCTGGCTTTTTTGTTTTAATTGCCATGTTAAGATTTTGTTATCCATACTTAAAATAATGTGTTTATGGTTTAATGTTTTATTCACACAAACTATAATACTTCTGCCAGTGGAGCTCCTCACATGAGTTAGGCTTTCACAGAGTTCAATACTCTAGTTTTTAACAATATATGCCAAATAATTCAAAAGATTTTGTATTTTAAAATTTTAAAATAAAATGAAGTGTTGTAATGGAATTTCATTCAGTCTAGATAGCAGACAACTATATACAAGCTGACTCTTTTGGGTTGCTTAATTTATAAGGCACGTTTAATAAATGCATTTAATAAAAAATACACCACTCTACAACACAGTAGCTGTAGTATTAAAAAAAAACCCAAAACATTACCTTTAGTGAGATGTTTCATAACATGATCTTTCAAAAGTAAATGTAAATTTGAAATTTCTAAGAGTACTATACAATGCAAACTTATCGTGTAAGATGTAAAAAAAAATGAAAGTCTTTGTGAGCTGTGAAAGAATCTTTATGTATATTTTAATATAAATGTATAAATTTGTAGAGGTAGGTGGGATTTTCTCATTCCTTGAAAACTGTAAAAACAAAAAAATTCAAAATTCAAAATCTCAAATATGTTGGCAAATAAAAAAAATGGGTCAAAGATTTTTGTGTAGATAATTTTAAATACTCCATTTCAATGCTATAATAGTTTCATTATAATTACAGTAAGTTCTAAATGCAAAGTCATTTTGAACCAAAGAAAAGTTTATCTTTTTTCTAATTTTGTTTTGTTTTTTTAAATAGTGGATTCTTCGACAATTTCTACACTTAAATTTTTATTTTTTATCTCGTTGGAATCAGACAATCTGCCTAAAACTAGTCTTTCTTTAAAAAAAAAAAATTTTTTAACCAGCATTGAGATCAAATCAGACCATACAAACAAGCCATAATCACAATCCAACAGAACAAAACAAAACATATGGAGGACTGTTTGGTCTTAGAAAATAATAGACTATATATTACAAAAGCTAGGACTCAATATGCCCATATATGAATGTAGAAAAAATATAATTCATACTGTAGCGTGGGTGTTAATGTTGACATCTATAGCTCTATCTAGCCTGTATTTAGCTTGACCTAACCAATAAATGCCCAGTCATGCAGGTGCTTGCAGGGCTTAAATTGTACTAAAAATGGTGGAACTGATCTAAATTAGTTCACTTTAGGAGGGGAACTAACTTTAGATTGAGAAAAGGTTAACCCAATTTACAAAGAGTTAACCTGATCTAGCAAACATGCGTACAAGTTCACAGTACAGCCGCTTGCCCTGAGGCCTGGGGTTCTGCTGTTCCTCCCCACCCCACCCCCACTCAACCCTTACTAGGCTACTTTTAGCTCCACAACTATACACATAGGATCAGGCAACCCCCATCTAACAGATCCACTGATTCCATCCCTGCAGACCCACTAGCACCCCCTGGCCCGCAAACCCTTGCTATACTGCCACCCCCTCCCCATACCCCGCTTACCTTAGGCTGCCCGTACCACTCCCAGCAGTGGTGAACACCTACATATATCACTCCAAGGTTTGATTTAGGGGGCATGAAGTAAGCCACCTACACCTAAATTGGGTGCTGGGAATGCTTGCACATACTGTAAGAGTGTCATACAATGTCTGAAACATCTTTACCAACCCCACCTACTTCTAACAATATCATACCATATGTGTTTGCTAATCACCTAAATCTATTTCAGAATCTAATACATAGAAAGGCTAGGAGTATATATGAAGGATAGCTGCATGGACACACACAATACTTGCAAAGCTGCATATATCCAGTCTTGGACACTAATTAAAAAAAGATTCCATCAGATTTGAACATCTTCTTCATGGTGCAGTTCACCTACAGATATTTTAATGTGTTACATAATTTGATTTTTACTTTGTTTTTAAAAGCACTTCTGGAATAAATCAGACAACTACTTTCTAAAAACCTGAGACACACTTTTATCTAGGTTTTCATTTGGCATGTGATTAATGCTGTATAAATAATTTCAAGGCTAGTAATGGATATCTGATGAATACAAATAGTGTGTGAAATACCTACATAATATTTAACTTAATTACCCATTTATTTTTGTATGACGAAACATTTTCAAAAAAATATATATACGTGTGTGCGCACGTGTGTATTTTATTTGTTTATTTATTTATTTATTTATTTATTTTAAAGAACTGCAACTATAGATTAACTCTTCACCTTAAAATTTCCATCTTAATAAAAAGCAGTACACAACTGAAAACCTCAGTGGAATTTTTACAGATGAACACTATAAAGATTAATACTGAAAGCAAGACAGATGATGACACAGATGAGTAACTAAAACAGTTTCAAAAGCCTCCTGATATCTCCATCTAATTTTTTTCAATGCATTTCACTCCTCACCTTCATAACATGATGGGAACCTTCAACTCATAATTTCCGTCACTGACAAACTAGCTTACTTTCACTGAGTCACAAAGAAACAACAGATAGATTTGAATGTGTTAATTGATATACAATGTTCCATTCAACATAAAGCACACTATTTTCTTTGCATAACAGGAAAGAAGAAAATGATGAGGGTCCAACCATTTGAAGATGCTATGCTTTTTCTCATGCTTTTATAATGGAAGCCAAAAAAGCCAAGCCATTTCTAGCATTATTCTTTTGATAAATGTCTTGATTGAATATATGTATTCATAGTTAGCTATTCATTGACTGCCTCCACAACTTGACCATTAACTGCAGTGTTCTCTTGAGCCTTATTTTTATTAAATCACATTGACATGCACAAATTTTGTTTTTAGCACATTCAGACACAGACCATCATGCTTATTAACTGTTTTTACAGTCTTCAACACTGGCTTTGCACTGGGTAGCAAGAATATTGGGTCATCGTCGAACCCAAAATCACTTAAGAGGTGTCCATGAATAGGAGTTCAAAATTCTTCCCCCTTGTCAAATCTTTCCAAAGCTTATCTCATAATAAATTCTGCATGCTGAAGAGCCTGTGAGCAGAATCAGCCTTGTTTCTCACCCTAGAAAAACACTAACCATCACTGTGAGATATATGAATGTGCACATGAATGTTAAATGTGCATATGAGAATCTAAGCTTCAATTTGTGTTTACTGAATCTGCTGATGGCAACTACCTCATTGCTTTATTTTAGCTTCAAAATATATTCAGTGCTAGCCAGCATGGCAGCACTCTTACCCAGATCAGTGGCTTGAGTCATTTTATTTCTGGTTGTACACAATAGTCACTCACTGCTGTTGACTTCCTGATCTGTTGCTGAAGACGGAGACTTTTGATGAGTTTTCCTCAGAATTCTGCACCTGCCAGTACACTCCACAGACCAGGGCTGTCTAGTTTCCAAGCAGCTGTTCCACAGTTTGCACCAGTGGGGACTAGATTCCATAGATTTCACAGACATTAGGGCTGGAACGGACCTTGTAAGATCATAGGGCCCAGCTTCCTGCCCAAGGGGCAGGAAGTCAGGTGGGGTCAAAGAATCCCGGGAACATAAGCGTCCAAATATTTCTTAAAAGTATCCAGAGTAGGACTCTGTTCCAGGTCTTGGGGGCTCAGACAGTAAAGAAGTTTTTCCCTTATGTCCAGCCTAAAACGATC